CCCATCCATTGTTATGTTTGAGGCGGTGGATAAAATTCTTTCTTCTTCGATAGTTGATTCAGAGGTGAAAGAAACGAGTGTTAGCATCTCCCTCTTTGAGCAAGGTGATTCGCGAGGACTATCTCTTTTGGGCTCTTTCCAGAATAGCCAAGGCCATGGCCTTCCTTTTAAGCTCTCTCCTAAGGTCACGCTCACCGGAGCTAAGGGGCCTCTCCTCTTGTGCCATGTCCAGCCAGAGGATGATCTCAAGGGCCTGTGCCTTGTCCAGCCGGAGGTTGCAGTCTTGCAGCTCTACAGTTGGCAAATATATGGTGACCATCACTTAGATGCTCCAAAAAAATCAAGCTTCAATGTTTCAGAAAATCCCCAAAAAATTAAGAATCACAACACATATATCTACTACCCCTAAAAATTTCAGATCCAAATTAATATATGGTACAATCTTTCACTTTGGTCTAAATTAATTCCTTTGTTTCAAAAGACCCCTAAACCAATAGGCGTCCTTTCAGCCACTACCTGCATGATTTTATGGAAGCGCATGCCTCCAGAACCACACACTTTGTAAACATGCACCGTTTGAAGGATGATAAGATTTTTTGTAACTGTCTTAGTATGATTGCTCATCTTCATTCAATACTTCTCCGTTTGAACCATGTTTGGATAATGATGCTGCAAAGAGTACATGTGAAGTTAATAGATATGGTGGTTCTAGCTTTCGTATGAACTCGCACTCGCATGACTAGTTTACTTTACGTGATATTTATAACACTACTTCCATGAAGTTTGTCAAGATAAAATTAATTAGAAAATACTGATTATGTCAACAAGTCATTCCTTCCTCTGTCCGGGTTTATAGGACCCCTCTCTCATTTTGCGCTAAAGTTTGACCAACAAATTTGACTAATAAAATGTAAACAATATATCATCAAAATTATATTGTCAAAAAGCTCTTTCAAATACAAATATATATGTGCACCTTTTGTTAATATATATTTTATATTTTAATAGTCATATGGACGGTCAAAGTCTGGCTCAAAATATTATGGGGCTTAAGGGCATCTCCAAGGGAGACCGACAAATAGCTTCGGTATATGTCCGTTTTATGTTCGGACGTGGTGCACGGACATGATGCAGGAGAGAGCCATCCAACCATTTTCACAAATTAATCCTTATTTGTTCGGTTGGTAGGGGGGAGAGAGAGAAGACGCGACCATGCATGTGCGGGGAGAGAAAAGGAAGGAGGCCACGTGGTGGCCTTTTGTTGATCAAGTGGATGTCCAGTCACCGGTATAGCTCCCTCATGTTTGTGTTGGTTTTGCAGGAAAACGAAACGTACGGATTACATCACAGACCGATGGGGCTCTCCATTGGATGTCAAAAGTTGCCACAAACGGTCCGAAGACCAGAACCCGAACATATACCGGAGTTTTAAGGGTCTCCCTTGGAGATGCCTTAATAAACCTAGACGGAGATAGTAGTTTTGATACCATAAAGAATTTCACGCATCAATTGACCAACTTACACAAAAGCGGGCAATTTGTATTGAAGACGCAGAGCACCAATTTTGCAAGAACGAATCACAATTAAACTACACTGCTCCACTATTGTTCCTCTTTTTTCCTAGGAAACTTCATTATTGTTCCCTAGTACACTTGCACACTTGCATGGCATGGTTGTTCCTAGTGTTGGGGAACGTAGTAATTTCAAAAATTTCCTACGCACACGCAAGATCATGGTGATGCATAGCAACGAGAGGGGAGAGTGTGATCTACGTACCCTTGTAGACCGACAGCGGAAGCGTTAGCACAACGCGGTTGATGTAGTCGTACGTCTTTACGGCCCGACCGATCAAGCACCGAAACTA